TCAATAATTCAGAGCAAGCATCGACTTGGCAGAACAGAACACAGAAAAAAGCCTGCGATCATCTATTCTGTATGTGTGATTTTAATAATGTTTTACAACCAGCACCTACAGCCAAACAGAACAGAACAATACATCACAATATACAACTTTCACTCTACAAATGTTCTACTTAGCTTTTTGATTTCTTTACTTCTCTCTTTATATTTTAGTGACTGAGTTTTTAGGAGAACTCTTTGTATAAGCTTCCAGCATCCTACCTCTCTTTTAGGTGTAAGTGTGTCTGTACATGTGTACTTGAATGTCTTTGTGTGCATAAAGTCGTATAGTGTTTTTAACAGTTCTATTTGATGTCTAAACAAAATAAATGGCGCATAGCTCAATATTTTATTGGCTGTAGCTTTTCTATTCATCTTTTTGCAATTGTCTTAAACATTTTCCTATGCACTGACATTTTTAAAATAAATATTAATCATGTCAGTGGAATAAATTGCAATAATCAAGATCAAACCATGACCACAGATCTGTCGCGATAGGTGTTTGTGTCACTGAGCTGCTCTTTCACTTCTCATCTATTTTCATGTATTTCTTGTTTGATTTGATGTGATTGCCTGTGTGCAGCGTCATCACAAAACCATCTGATATTTTCATTCGTATGACTGGGTGGGGCAGATCTGATGACGATGAAACCACAGCCTGTCCTCCACTGACCTGGATGGAAACATGCAATCCATTTACACTGGAGCACATGTACAACAACCCCCGTCCTTTTCTGCTTTCCCTTTCATATCTAAAGAGACACATTCTCTCTTCCTCTCTTTCTCTCACACACATGCACACACATTTGGCTGGGGGGTAAATTAAGCCCTAACATTCCCACAGAGACTAATCTCCATCCATTTAGAGGGCTGTAATATTTAATCAGGAGGCCCTGGACCATCTCCCAGCACTACACACTGTGGCATGGCTCATATGTTCACAGGAGAGGTCAGCCCAGAGGCAAAGGAGGGGAATTCAGTGCTAAAAGCCACAACGCATCTAACCACAGAGGCTCCCATTTCCTCTTACTGAGTAAAAGGAAATGGGATGCTATGTTACTTTTGGGTGGAGGAGACAGAAACAGGAGGATGAGTTGGTACTGGTACGGTCTTATTTTCCTTTCTTGTCTTCATTGTTATCATGCATTATGCCGTCTTATGACATTGATACAAAAACATTCATCAAATCCACATCACACCACAAATTATTCAATATCTATGTTTTATCCTAAGAAATATGAGAAGAAATTTAAAAAAAAAAATTCAATTCAATTCAATTAGCTTTTAATTTTGCAGCCTCATGACCTCTGCTCTAACCACACTCAAAAGTCATTAGGTCTTTAGTCAACCACACTTCAGCTACACAGTATGATTCACTACATTTCTTGATTCACAACATCTGGTCCAAACAGCAGTTAAAAATAACTTCTTTCTGAACACTTTAAAGTCATAGATAGTCAGATAATCCTGCTCATTTCTGTTCAGCTAAATGTTACCTTCCATCATTGTCATTGTTATGTACGTTAACACTCACTTTTCCATGGTACATGGTTGGGTTATTTTATTGATTAAGGTCACTGCTGTATTTCGTTTTCCAGTCTTAAATGTTGCTCACTTAAGCATCTCTACTTTGGTGCTGAGGAGATGTAGATCAGCTGTCATGTCTGGTGGGGTCCAGCAGGTGTCGCTGTTCTTCCTTGCTAAATTCAATCCTCAGTTACTGTACTGCAAAGACTGCTTTAAGGGACATCCTCAGTTACTGGGTGAACTGTACTGCAAAGACTGCTTTAAGGGATACCTGGCGGTTTGAGTTATTTTGTTCTCTTATACTTCACCTTAATTATGGTATATCATCTCCATAGCAATAATTGATGTACTGTGTATTTGTTACTTTGATGGAGACAATGAGAATAACTTGCAAGTCATTGTAATCAGCAATGTAACTTTAATATTGTGTTTTTATTTTCTATTTTGCTCCATAGAACCACACAAATACACCCATATACAGCCAATACAGCAGATATGATTATGCAAGTATCCAGTCTTGTGTCCTGACCAAAACCCAGTGGTGAGCATCATATTCCACCAGCTAAGGATAGATCTCCTTTCCCTCATCTACTCTCACTGAGCTCAAAAATGTCAGGGTTCTGGCCACCAGTTATGATTTATAAGAAGTCTTTTCTATACATGCATCTACTTTCTTCCTTAAGGTTAATACAATAGTATAATCGAAGGATTTATTGATCCTTAGCGTAACATTGGCAAGGTGCATTAGCTTATCTCACAGTATGGACAATACAGTAGATTGAAACAGAAAAAGATGATAAAATTGATTTTAAAAGCTTTTTTTTACACTTTTATGTCATGCAGTAGCTAATCAACTGACTGACTAATCATTTTAGCACCAAATGTAATGCAACAAATCCACAATTACAATAAATTTGAAGCATCACCTCTCTGACACCTTATCCAGACTTGTTAATAAAGGGCCGACATCTTGTTATGTGCTCCTCCTCTACCCACCCAGTGTTCCAGTAATCTTCCTGACACAGGACATACAGTGTGTGTCCAGGTAGCGTGGCTGTCCTGCCTGGAGGTATCACACTGGACTGAGCCAACTGCTCTTACGCTTACACACAGTAAAGGTCAGGTCTCGCACCATTAGTGTGAAAAGTGTGAAACGTCTGCAGTGAAAAAGGTTTAATTCATCTGTTTTTAACAAGTCAGGACTGTTGATGCATCTGTATGTGCAGTACAGTACATGCTTGACCTGACCTGAAGCAAAAAAAAAAAAAGGCTTCTGCAATGAGTTTCTGTTTTAACGCCATAACGTTTACGTTGCTAAGTGTTAAGTTAAAAAGTATCATGTGTGGCCATTGTAACGCCTGCTCCCTGATTCAGACTGACTCTAATGGGAAACACTGGTGAATTTTTCATACGGCCCAGAGGGAAGAATGAGCGACCACACTGGCAGATCACAACCTCTAAGAGAAAGAGAAAGAGAGAGAGCAGCAAGGTGAAGGAGTAACCTGACATTCAGGACGAAGCTTGACCTTCCATCAGGCTTTTGGTTTAATGTTGGTTTAACTGATTCAAACTTGAATAGATGTCAAGGTCATGAAGTTTTCTCAATCCTTAAAAAAAAAAAAAAAAACGAGAAACAGCAGAACAATAGGGCATATTGTTCACTTATACTGTTGCCTATAGGAAACCAGAAATGGCCATGTGCCAGCAAACAACAGAAACCTTTTAACTTCTGCTTATTTGAACTTCTTCTGTAAAGTTTCCGTGGTGAGAGAAATGTTTTCAGAAATGCTTTTTTTTAACTCACCTTGACAAACATTACAGTCTTCACTCCCCTCTGCTGTGTTCATATCTCTTGGTTTTGTTAATGCATGGATTCCCACAAAGAAACTGTTTTAAATAATCTAGATGTTCTGTGATGTTTCTGATTCATGCATTGGGAATCGTATGTTGAATATGACAAACAAGAGAAACCTGATCCTGAAGATTCTTTGTGAGCCTCATGAACAAAAGTAGGCTAAATAATGCCCAAGATCTCCAGTTAACTGGCAGAAATTTCTGCAAGAAAGCTTAAAAAAAAAAATCCATCTGTTCAATGCACACATGCCACGGCTCACTCAGATAGCTTGTAGCACTGTCTTGCATATGCAAATATGTTTTGCCTGGAAATCTATTTGGAGTTGCTCGAAGGAATCCAGAATGGCCCTCCTTCTGTCTCCCCTCGCCGGCTCACGCGGGGGCTTCCTTTGCCGTCTAGCTCCTCTCACGTGGAAAACATTTACCAGCTCCACATGCACAGACATACAGTCAGTGTGGAACCGCCTTGCTTAAACCACCAAGGGCCAATATGCAGATCTCACGGGCCCACGCTGGCAGCAGTGTCCGTAAGCAGGACAAGGAGCCCTGCAACTGTTTGCTGAGTTGGATAATACATGTAATACAGGGACACAGAAGGAATAATTATCCACTCTTTGAAGAGGCCAATAACTGTGTCCTTCTATTAAAGACTTGAAGTCCTAGTGCAGAAACAGAGGAGTTTGTAGCTCTAGAACACAACCTGCCTGCAAAAACAGTCTTGTGTGTGTGTGAGAGAGAGAGAGAGAGCTGTGAAGCCAGGCTTGGGCAGATGGTCCACAAAGGTGTTACCACACAGTGAGTGGGCACTGCGATTAATGCAGTGCAACATCCAAGAAGGTGGAACATTTGGCTACTGACCTGGAGTCAGAACTCACTGGCCCTGCCTTCTTATTTAGCTGCTGCGAGAGAGCCGACGGGTGATTTGGACGGAATAAACACACACGGAACACAGCGCTTTCCCACCCTCAAGGGAGCCTGCGTGAATGGGCTGCATGCTGGAAACTTCCTCTCTTGTCTCTGCAAAGAGGTTGCGATGGCGTTGCAGGCAGGGAAGATGCGTGCACAGAGCTACGGAGATGAACAGAAGCAACACACAGGAACCTAGGGTGTTACACTTGGATGGAAGACATCTGACCTTGAGCTTACTCTCAGATGCCTTTGTTAGTGAAGCAACTCTTTATGCAAGTTACGTGTAGCACATCCATCTTATGTTTGTTTATGATGGTCTGGAAAAAAGAGAAAATATAGAACCAAATCAACAAACAAATGCTAAAAATGAAGGAGCATTAAATGATTTCTCTTTCATTCAAGTCTTACAAAATGGTCTTCTGACAAATTACATTTGATAAGTGGTGTAAAGACATTACAAAATAAATTGAAATGGCAATATAACAGTAAATTTGTATTAATAGAAGCTTTGTAGAAGCTTCGAGTTCCATCCCTCTGTTTTAATGAATTATATATAGTTAAAGAATCTATTATTAATTCCTAAATTTAAAAATAAGATACATCTCATAACTCCCCTGATTTCAACAAAAATAGTTAGAACATTTTAAAAGTAAAATGTTCTTTTTAATTACAAACAATATTAGTTATGCATATAGAAAGATTTTATTTCACACCCAAAATCATTGTTACATCAGCTGAAACATGGAAAATTCATGAGCGAGCACGTTAACCAAAGGCAACATTACGGCAATGGATTTTGAACATGATAATTGCTATTTGTCTCCAAGTGCAGTTCAATCATTAATCTGTGGTAGAAATAATCCATCCCAGTTTGCTGTTCTAATACCTCATTTATATTTTCATCATTAATCACTGGACAAACAGATTGCAAAAACAAATGTGGCCAATTTGTTAAAGCATAAGAGCAGATTTTTGAAAATGGTTTGTTTTTGTTACAAAGTGCAACATTTTGCCTGAAAAAAAACTGAAGACATTTTTAGTTTTAGTTACTTGCCTGTTTTATTTACTGAGATAAATGGATAGCTGCATTGCCATCATCAGCTCAAGTCTATTGTGATTTAATGTAAGCTAATATCTTTGACATTTTCATCTGTAAATTAAATAAACTGATTTGATTTGTTGCATTTTTTACTTAACATTTAATCAGTTATTTGTGGTTAATAAGCATTATTATTCCAAATCACATCAGTGGATGCACGTATGATAAAATTTCTGTTTGATGTGAACCAGTACAGGCTGCCACCCTATGGATACATCTGGCACGTCAACGTCTCGTGCTTGATCTTTCACAGTTTGCTCTCACAACAGTGAAAGGATGATGCTTTGAGATGCAATGAAGAATATTAGGGCTTTAAATCAAGTAAAATAAAACCTGAATAACTGGGATCAGAAACCGAGTTACCATGTAGCATAATATTTGAGTGATGTAATCGACATCTGTGCACAACAAAGTATCGACATTTGTTGCCAACACATTTCCTTGCTGAAAACAGCCTTAGGCTACTCTGTACCATATAGTTAGAGGAAATTATTATTAAACATCCTAAACTCTCCTTTGTTCTACTTTTGGTCTTTTAGGAAGAGCAGTTGAAGGCTTCTAACAGAAAACGACACAGAATCTAAAAATGACAATGACACATATCAGTATCAGTCCAGCACAGATCTCTAAAGCAACATCCCCCTCAGCATCCGACTCCACTCCTAGTCAGTCATCATCCACCACCATCACATTCCCGTTCGCCTCATATTCAATAGCGGCCCAGTCAAAGATGTTTCCCTTGGGGACCTTGGGGACCTTGTGCCCATAGTGCCAGGCCTGGATCATGCTTCTGGAGAGCACAAAGTCCCACATGTTCAGATCAGTCACCTCCCCTACAAAGCTCTGCACAGCCTCTAACCCCCCTAGGTGTTTGTCTGGGTCCTGCCCCAGGAGGACGGTGCCTTTTGGACGGATGGTGTGCCCAGGTTTGTAGACTTGGTAGGCGCTGCGCTTTCCTTCCACCCAGAAAGCGGTGAGGCCGGTGCGAGACTCCCAGGTCAGGCAAAGGCTGGTGCGGAAGGTGGTGAGGGGCGGCAGGTGAAAGAAGGCGCCGTCACCGCTCATGTAAAAGGAGATGCGTCCATCTTTCTCACGCCATATGTTGAGTTCGTCATAGTCGGCTGTGCGGTAGGCAAACAGGATGATTTGACGTTCTTCAGGCAGCTCGGTGGCCACCCGCATGCAAAGGGTGAAGGACCTCAGACCCATCTCCTTCTGTGGGATCAGGGCCACGTAGCTGAAGTCTGTCTCATAAGGGAAGACGAGGACTTTCTCACTCAGACCCACTGGAGCAACACAAACAAGAAAGCAACAATCATTAAGACACCAAATCTTGATCAGTGTGTGAAAAACACACTTCTGAAACTGAAATGTGTGCACAAACTCAAGTTGCTTTTTTTTTCTAATTAAATTCTATTCCTGATGTCATACCTTGGGTGGCTAAGGAGACACTTGAAGACAGACACAAGGCACCAAGCAGAACCATGGCAAACATCTGCAAACACACACAGGACATTAGCAGCCATTATCTGACAACAACCCCAAAGTGATAGCACTTACTGACCTTCAGTCACATCACTAGGTATAAAGATACAAGAGAAAACACCTTTTCTTACCATCCTGATGTGAGGTTGTTTTTCCTGTGTTGCCAACTCAGTCCCACTTGCCAATAACCCATGCACAGTCCTCTTCCCTCCTTGCACAGGGCATGAGGGCATGTCAGCTGTTTGGTGGGTGTTCTGACAATAGGCCTGGTGTGTGAGGGCTGAGTGACTCTGTCCTGTCAGTGTGACTGAGGCGCACACACACCATTTCATTTATACTAACCAGCCACTTTATTAGATACACCTCTACATTGTATGCAATATTTCATCCTTGACATGTTTGTTCAGCTCAAAATGTTTCGGTTTTTGGTGAAACTGTCATAAACGTATAAATAAATTCAATTATATGTTTATTATTCAGCTCACAGTTAAAGACGGTGTTGTACTGGACTACATTATATTCAGAGGTGTTCCTAATATTCTGACCCTCTCATTATGTAGCTGGGACAAAAACCTAGAGACACCCCAACAAATGGAAAGTTCACAGTTTAATGGGGACAAATGAAAAGTGAACCAGGCATTTATGCTATCAACATATCTACATTTAATACAGTTTCTCAAGGGGAAAAAAGAACCCTATTTTGTCAAGAGATAAAATACACAAGCAAATTATTTACACTGCCTGCACCCCGACACAAACCACACACAGGCCTAATTCACCACAGACACACACTCAGCAGAAAAACCTATAAAGCACTAGCACTGAAGTGACAGTTTTAGAAAGAATGTCAGTGAACCAGCATGCCGACAACGCAGACTGAGGTATGGATGAGGTGATCAGAACTCTTCCAGCATTTCTAACACAAAGGAGGTTGGTGCGGCGATGCTAGTGAACCTGAAATCTTGGTAACTGGATTTTCCAAAAATTTACTTTCTCACTAATGATTGGTTTACATAAGCTGTTGCAGCCACTTTCCTTAAAACTGTGAGGAGACGGTGCATAAAGTTAAAAGCAAAAAGGCGAGGAAGGTGACAGCCAATGCTCTTGTCTTTGCAACGGAAGAGAAACTGTAGTCATAGTTGATCTGAGCGTTCCAGGCAACAACACAAGTCAAACGCAATGACAGAACGCATGTTTGTTTCAGTGAACAATGAAGACAGCGCAATCCGTTTTTCAAAGCTGAATCAACCCAAACAACGGATGTCACCTATCAAAATTCAAACATTTCAATATTTTCAGTTCCAGCAATGTGAAAACGTATTTTTTTTTGTATGCAGCGGCGCATTCCCTTCATCCAGTATCCAGTTGAAGACCGCTATTCATGAAAACGTTACAAAGATTTTTGAATTACTGTAGGTTGAGCCTAAACCTAAAGAGAATATTATGCATACATTCAACTCATTTCAACTGTATAATGGGGTGTGATTGATATGGGAAAGAAAAACCTAACAATCTACTGAAAATCTGACAGTATGGTGGCACGGTAGGTGTGGAGCGCCACCTGGAGGTCACTTACCAGTGACTCTTTTAAATTAGCATCATGTAAAACTTGCATACAAACCTGTTCAGAATAGTGATTTGGCATTTTAGTTACCACTTTTGTAAATGTACATTATGAAATGGGCAAATGTTCCATTCTCAAAAGAAATAAATGACTATGAAATACTGCGGTAAATGACACAAAATGCCAGTCTTAATGAATTCTGCCACCAAAATGTAAATTTTTTAGTTTTGTTTGTTATATAGATGGTACTCGTGAAAAATTGGGTGTGCAATGCTGATACTTTCCAAGGATTGTGGCACTCAGAGAAAGAGAAAGACAGAGAGAGAGCAGGAAGGGAGCAAGAGAGACCTGAGAATGTGGCCCCTTAGTTTGAGTTAAGAAAGGAGTCGGGCTTGAAAGACCAGAAACAGCATGACAGAGAAGAAGAAAGAGAGAATGTATGGGAAGAGGGGAATGAAGAGGGAAGCAGCAGGCCATGGATACCCAGCCTCAGAAAGTCAGAGTGGGACGTTTGACAGCAAAGATAAAATGTGGGAAGAAAGAGGCAGACCGAGATACAAGGCTCCCATTTGGTAGTCCATTATGTGGCTTTTCTGGCTTGTGTAAAGTACATATCCAGGCAAGGGGTGATCTGTTCTCTAAAGTCTTGTGTTGTCCAGACTTTATCTTAAGAATTAGGATATGTAGACAAATGGGCAGTGGGCGTCCTTTCAGTAGTCCTCTACCCAGCCGTTCTCCTGGATGAAGGCGTCGATGACTTCCTTCATGGCCAGGTTTGGAATCAGCTGGTCCTGGGTCAGGGGACTCCTAGTGACAGGATCAAAATGGCCCACCCGCTGCACAGAGAGCATATCAGAAGCTGGCATTAGCATCTCTGGTTGAATTTTAATCATAGTATAAGCAAGTAAAAATGTATGAGTATCATGTGACAGGAGTTTAAGAAGGACTTCAAAAACTAGTGGACATAAGCAAAATGAAACTCGAGCCATGAGCTGGTCTACATGCAGCTGATAACAGTTTACCTGTAGGTGCTCTTCAATGTCCTTGCGATCATAGGTGATTCCACTAGGTGTGATGCAGGGCTCCCTCATCAGCTCAAAACTGATTTTCCCACACAGGTAATCTGGAATTTCCCGCTTCTAAACAGACAACAAAACACAGCAATGTCATGCTAAGACATAAGTCCTTTTCAGATATGCACCGGAAACCTGAAATCATCTAGACATTGCCCAGAGGAGCTGTATGTGAGAACGCAAATGTCTGAGTCAGCTGACCCAGACATTAGGCAGACTTTACTCTGCCAAAGTAAATGTAATGTCCGAGTAAGGCAATGTAAGAAAACAGCAGCGTATGCTCCAGAGTCTTCACAGTGAGATAGTGGGTCTGCTGGTGACATCCTATCATGTGACTTGGGTGAAACTGGAAGAATACAAACATCTGATGGTGAAGAACAATGATCATTTACAACGACGATGGCAAAAGAAATATCTAATTGGAGGAGGCACAACGAGATTCTGGAACTACCGCCGTTGTCAGTCGGCGCCAGAATCATCAGACAATTTTAAGGAACAGCAAGAGACTCAGTGGCTTATGACCAAATTACAAACGACATAACCGCGTCATGTCCCGCCTCTTTGCCACTTTACCCAGGCACTCACCTCTTGCATAAACCAAACAGAGTATTTCCAGTAGGTGAGAATGTGTCTGACACAGACCGTTGTGTGCTACATGTGTGAAAGGGCAACTCTGGGCCTGATTTTTCGGACATAGTCCAGAGTTCATGTGTGAAAACAGCTATATGGATGTAATATTAGAATTTCTTCTATAATGCTATAACATAGCTTAAATGTTGCCATTTCCTAATCTTACAGGGTTCACTGGAGTTTAATGGCAATCAAAGGATTTCCCAGCTCTACATTGAACCTCTGTCTCTCAAACCTTCTAACACATACAGAAGAGAAGCACTCTGCTCGTAGTCTGCACCGTGTCATTTTGACTGGCAATTACATGAGAACTACCTTGGTTGAGTCAACAGCTATGTATAGCGCGGATAATTAATCACTACAAGCATTGGCAAACAAACTGTGACAGTTACCATATGAACAGCTTGGGCTGAAAATAAGACAGAGAAATAAAGTTAAGATGTGCCTACATATCTGTACAAAAATCTTAAAGTATGTGTGTGTGTGAGAGAGAGAGTCTATTTCGGTTGTTGCTATGTCAACGAGTAAAGAAGACAGTGGTAGGCGTACTGTATGTGAGGATGTATTCCTGTGGGTGATGGTGATCAGTGTGTGTGCCTGTTTGTTAGCCTAGTAATGGACTGGTGCCCTGTTCAGGATGTTTCCCTGCTTTCTGTGCAGTGCATGATGGGATGACCTCTTCTCCTCTTGTAACAGGAATAAATGGGTACAGCAAATGACAAAAAAATTATTTACTCACTTTTCTTTTCTCATCCACTTGAGAGAAGAGCTCATCCATGTCCATTAGATACTTGTCCTACGTAGGTCACATTAAAGGTAACCAAACTGTTATATATTACTGAAATATTCAAACATATTCATGAATATTTTAGTGCATATGAAAATGTATAATTACTATATTTGATCCTACAACTAAGTAAATCCAAACATATGTAAAAACATACATGTTTTGATGCAATCTTGGCAGCATCACCTCCATTTTGATTGTCATCCTGCTTCTCTTTGTATTCTTCTAGTTCTCTGCATAATATACATACAAAGTTGTTATAACTTCCCACTGTATCCAGATCATAATAGTGAAACCCACATGACAGAGTCATTTCTGTGATTTGCAATGTTCAACAAGAGATGATGCCCAGGTAAACATCCAGGATCTTTGTATTTGACCCTGCTTCCCAGTCTCACCTTTCCTTCTCAGCCAGTATGAGCTTGGTCAAATAAGCATGCAAATCGTTTTCCTGGTTGATGCGCTTCTCCTCAATGCTGTTCCAGCGTTTCTTCTTGGCTATGCGCAAGGCGCTGGGGATGTCATCTCCAAAATTAAGTCTCTGCTCTTTTGCAAGGTTATAAGCTGTAAAGCACAAACAAGACCATTGCAGTGATGCTGTTTACCATTAAAATGACTCCTTAAGCTTTCTTTTCTTCTTGCATCTCTTGTTCAATTAACAATATGTCACTGATAGATAAAACTTTCCATACCTTTCACTGAACAATGTTATTATTACAGTGACAGAATCCCTGACAAAGCATAATATAAAATAACATCCCTGCAAACATATGCTGAGCCCACAGAGCTCCTCAGAGTAGAAGAGCTGATATCAGAGCAACATCAATTTGATTAGTGCAATCAGCACAGGGCTCTCTGCCATTGTCATGCTGCTGCAGCTTCACATGGCAGAGAGCCCTGTGCTGATCCTAGAATCAGTTTACAGCTGATTCTAGGATCAGCACTTCAGTTCTGAGCCCACTGAGAGCAGGAAAGGGAGAAAGATGTAGTTTTAAAAGAAGTAAACCCAATGACTTAAATATAAAGGAGAAAATGCATGAGTAGCATTGTGCAATATATGAGCAAGCTTCTTTCACTATGGCAAAATGTTGCAAAAGTTTCACCAGTTTGTTCTGACCTTTCTGCAGGTTGCCGATGGCCTCGTCATAGTTCTCCAGCTCCAGATGACACTGACCCAAGAAGAAGTGGGCCTTGACTGACTGGCTGTCCAGCTCCAGCGCGTGCTTACAGTCTGCCAGAGCCTTGTCATGCTGCTGCAACTTGACATGGCAGAGAGCCCTGTTGGTGTAATATACTGCCACCGATGGATTACGGTTCTGGAAGACAGAACATACCAGACAATGCACATGCACAGTAACATCACAGCACTCTAGGCTTCCCAAGCACATTCAGGGGAAATTTAACCCTTGCCATTTTTCTTAAAAAAGGGCTGTGCTATGTTTTGATGCGTTTTAAATAAGATGATGTAGTTCCACCATTGGTACTATTTCCTTCACAATGGCAGTTACTCACAATGGCTTTGCTGTAGCATGTAGCAGCCTCCTGGTACTTGCGGCAGAGGAACAGCCGGTTCCCCTGTTCCTTCAGCTCCTGCGCGGTGGAACTCTTCTCCGGGCTGCCAGCCATCTTCTCCACCGGCTCCGCGGGGCCTGCCTCGCCCTGCTTCCCTATCCTGTTCCCCGTGTCTTCGGCTGACTAATTGACAGGTTCAAGAATGCCCTGTCCCTCCTGGATCTGACGTACTACCATTAGAGACAATGCATGTGAAGTTAACTAAACATTCACGACGTGCCTTCACTGCAATGCGCCTTCAGTGTCTTGGGCGAATTCGGGGCAGTCCTTGATGGCACCCAAATGCATTCGTTTAAATCGCTGACTGTGCACACAGTTCAAAAACACAGTGAGGTGGCTAGACCGCCGCTAAATTAACTATTCATGTGACGGATATCAGTAGTGAGCAGCACATCTAGTTAGCTAGCTAGCCATCAGAAAACATTACACACTAACGATCCCTACCACTACTGCAAGGCTTATAACTGTGAGGTTATACCACTTGTAATAGTTGTTAAAGATTGTGAACAAGTAACGTTAATGTAACAAACATTATTAACGTTTGTTCCACTAACACTTTAGGTGCAGCTGTTGCACTAACAGGATGACAATGTCGCTAACTCTAGTTAACGTTAACAGCAAAGAAGAGATCGGTCATCATGTTAGCTAGTTAGCTAAGCTAACATAGAAAGGTATGTTGTCGACTTAACGCCTGCTAAAACATTTTTGCCCACTCACTTTTATTAATCATAGTCGCAACATTATTCGCTTAATCGGCAAGTGATTGACAATTTGGACTGTGGCTTTTACGGACCGGAAAAGATCATCATGGCTTTTATCATAACATTTATCTTACCTTAACGCCGCTAAGCAACCTAAGAAATCCGAAATTACCCAATGCTAGGTTAGCTTGTTTGCTAAACAACCGCTTGCCTTCTTTTTTGCCATTTCCATTTATATAAGGGCTTGCCTCTGAGATTCGGTCCTTACCTCTTAGAAGGAATCTTGCATTCAGGTGAAACCGAATTTATATAATTTGATATCAAATCTTAATCGATTTTTGTCATGACAGGTTGTTGTTATTTTGACGTCAAGCGCTTACGCGTAGTCGACGGAAGCCGAAAAGACGCTGTCTCAGAATCAAAGGCAAAGCGTCTCTCGCCAGCTAAGTGAATATTCCATTTCCCCCATGAGACTAAATTAGTCAGCTAAAAATACTACCTTAGCTGATAGATTGTACTTGTTATGTACAGCCCACACTGCTTCCAGTTCATCTAGTCTAGTCTCCTGTGTGATGGAAAAAGCAGCACAACAAAGTAACTGCCAGCAGATGGCGCTCTATAATCAAGGTTTAATCCAAACTACGAAATACAAAGATAGATAGATAGATAGATAGATAGATAGATAGATAGATAGATAGATAGATAGATCATGTATGGTGGAATATGTGATATGTCATAGATAACATTTTCTAGCTTGTAAATTCAGCCCTTCACACAACAAAAAGAGCTTCCACCACACACAGACAGCGATGACCCCCTGAGGTCTTTAATAATCGGAATATTCAAGTTCAGCCACAGAGGGATTAGTAAAACTATGACTATGGACAGGGCCATCCAGGCCTGTTTGGTGGCTCTGCTCAGAGATCAGTGAAGATTAAGGCACATCCCCTGAGCAAACACACTGATAATTGTGTGAAGGGGCCACTGAGCTGTAGACCTACCAGTGCTGTGTGTCCCCAGCTGTGTTTACATCTCTCTGCCTCCAGAACACCAATTCACAAATATGAGGTTTTACACACAGACTGATGAGGACTAGATTCAAAGATGAAAAACTGTGATCAGTGACATATTCTGGCAACACCAAGAAATCATTAAATAACATATAGGATACACATTTGTCCATGTAATTTAGTAGGGAAGTGAAAGATATATTTTGTGCCAAGTATTTACATATTTGGTATTATCCACACACTATAACTGCAGAATAATAACCTTGCTCACTTAATTTTAGTTCCTGCTCTTTGTGGAAACCCGTGCACGATTGTGTGCAATCACTCTCTTGCTACAAAGCACTGTATATTCTTGCAAAAAAAATCATTTTCTTGGCTCAAAATGCCTAATTGCACACTTTGAATTTAGAAAAAAATCCATATTTTCAGCTTGAAAACACATTATTATATACGTACCAAATAAGACACAAAACAATCACAAAGCGGTGCAAGACTACCAAAAAGAGATGTAGAACAACTATAAAGACACACATGGTCTTATGTAGGAGGGATGGGGCCTTGTCTGTGTCCAGGGGCCCATTTACTCCTAATCCATCAATACCCATGACTGTGACAAGCTCAGTGGAGGTGTTGTCTAATGTCATATAACTGTTTGTTATGGATATGAGTAAAGTTAAATATGCCTATGAGCAAAAAGAAAGCTTTCCATATCATTTCAGTATATTTCCCTGCCACAGAAATCTATAAATGCAAAGCAGCATACAAATATTATGTGAAGAAACCCAACTAGCAGAAACTGGGAGTAACTGGATGGATTAGGTGATTGTTTGCAAATGAATAGTAACAGAATAGAAACTCCACAGTGTGATTTTTCATATGAATGCCTGAAGTACCCTTTGCTTACATTTAAACTGCATTTCCTTCACTCACAAGCTGCCTGCCCACTTCTCCTGTGGATCCTAACCGTCTCCTCCACCATCCCCCCATCAAACCCAACTGCTGCCTGCTGTACCAGCTGGCTGAGCTTCCAGTCACCTTGGTAACAAGACCAGGAAGTTGCCCAGCTCTTCTGGCACAGATAAAAAGCTGCCACTTCCTGATTGATTCTGGTCTTTCTTTCTGCTCATGTAGTCGTTTTTCCATTTGGCATCGGTCTCCACCATTCAGCGCCAAAGCGGCTGAAAAGAGAAAAAAGGGTGAACACACTCTCCTTAGCGTTAAGGGTTAACCTCAGGTTCAAATGATTAAAACAAAAGCAGTATTTATCCACAAGGGTGGCCCTTTGTTCAGTGGGTTTGCTCATTTTGAGAAGGGGAAAGGCTCATAGACTTATTGCAGTTTGTTCAAGTTGTTGCAAACATGTACAAAAAACAAAAGACCAGTTCCACTATCTTAACTGAAATGAAAATGCAAGTATTGATCACTTATTTGTCAAAAACTATTTGCAAATAGATTCTTTTACAGGCTCCTCTATACCCAAACACATACACCTGTCTATATACTCTAATCAACCATCACAGCTTGATACTGAAAACTGTATTCACACACAAGCTCAGCTGTCAATCAGCAGTTTCCCTCTTTACATCCACCAACTCCTCTCTATAACAAATTCCTTTGCCAGAACACAAATGGCGGTATTTAAAGCTGCTCTCTGCATTCATACAAGGTTTACACAGGTGGGTCTGCATACACAAAGCTTAGACTTGTACACTACCAGTCAATAGGTTGGACACACTATCCCATAATTTACCGTTACATTGAATGTTACTAATGAAATGAGACATTTGCATAGGTTTGCAATGATTAAACGCTGGTGTTCTGTTCACACTGGTGGTGTTCGCAGGTGTCCTGCACCCACATCATTTTTTTGGCTTTGCAACTCAACATAAAACCTTGTGTTCTGTTCACACTGGTGGTGTTTGCGGGTGTCCTGCACCCACATCATTTTTTGGCTTTGCAACTCAACATAAAAGAACTTTATCTAAAACAGTGTAACATGTTTACATTTGCCCTTTACCTTTGTTAGATTACATAAAGGTTAAAACTGTGTTATGCTAATATTTTTGTTAGATGATCAGGGAAAAAAAATTACAAAGCAAGATTTTTCACAACTGCTGATTACAAACAAAGCAAGATTTTTCACAACTGCTGATTTTTATTTGAACCTCAGTCATTTCAAACATTCAGGACAGTTTGCACAGCACAAGCTGAACACAACTATTTTGGTCTACACAACACAGCCCCATTGAACACAGACAAACCTATACATCACATGATCTGTGGTTTTTGGCCATAGATTTTCCCATCCCTGTGCAGTGTACTCATCAGAACATTCTTGCCTTTCTTTGGCACATACAAACCTATACATCACATGAGGGGCAGAGTCTTCTTGAGTGTGTGTTGCATATGTACGTCTTGCACTTGATGCAAGTACTGTATATTGTGTTTTTCTGTCCTTCTTGGGTCCACACACACTCCATAGCGCTTCTGTTGCCTGGTGCTGGCCGCAACCTAGAATAATGAAAAGATAAGAAATTATACTTAGCACCTAGTTTCGCTCTCTCCCAAAGCAGGAGTGTCACACAGTATACTGCAACAGCATCACACACTTACCTCAGGTGCTACAGATGGTCGTTGCACAGAAGGTGTAGCTGGATGAGTGATATTCAATGTCAGCCTCTTCTTCAAGTCACTGTCAGACTCAGAATTGTTATCCTCATCTTCTGAAACTTCTTCCTGTACTTCATCAGAACCTTGTGTCTCTTGCAAAATCAATTCCAAGGCCCTCTGAACAGAATCTTTTTGCCATTGTTATGTTTGCACGCTACCAGAAGTAGCATGACAGAAAAGGCAGACTGATGGCTGACTTCAGTTTAAGCTGGTCATTTATTTTAAGTGCTATACAAGATAATGAGTGCGAGTACATAGACAAATAACACTGAATAGAATTAATTGCGATATTGAGAAGATGTAAGAAACAATATTACGCTAAAGTATTAGAGGATAATATAAATAACATGAGAGGTACTTGGAATATATTAAATAAATTGATTAGAAACAGTACCAGCATGAGTAACTACCCTCAATATTTCATGGACAATGACACACCGGTCAATAGATTGGGGGATGTAGTAGATAAGTTTAATAAGTTTTTTGTCAATGTTGGTCCTGGTTTAGCAAGAAGCATTTGTACAGATGATACATCCGTCACTATAAATAATAATACAATTGAAAGGAACATGAGTTCTATGTTTTTGAAGCCCATAGTTGAAAAGGAAATTATAGAGATAGTGAATAAATGTGGTAACAAAACATCTAGTGATAGTGATGGTATCACTATGACAACTGTTAAATGGGTAATTGAGGGGATATGCAAACCATTAACCCATATTTTTAACATGTCGTTTCGACTTGGGCAGTTCCCCAATAATATGAAAATAGCAAAGGTTATTCCACTGTATAAATCTGGTGATAAGCACAACTTCACAAATTATAGACCGGTTTCTCTGTTGTCACAATTTTCAAAAATCTTGGAAAAACTCTTTATTAACAGATTAGATTCATTTATTAATAATCATAAAATCCTCTCTAATTGCCAATATGGTTTTAGGTAAAACCGGTAGACATCTTTGGCCATTACCGACCTGATAGAGGACATTACAAGT